GCGAAGACTGGAGGTCTTTGACCACCGGTGCCTGAGGACGATCCTGCGATTTCATCTCAAATGCGACAGTCCGCATCTGCTGCGATCGTATCACGAGCGTATCTCAGGCCATTCAAAAAAGGTGGTTTGGACACGTTTTCCGTCGTCCGCCCTTGACCCACCGCCGAAGCTCTTCTGGAAACGTCGGAGAGGGGGCAACTGAAGACTTGGATTGACACCGTCCGTCAAGACATGGAAGCAGTTCTTGAACCTTCTATCTTCGGTCTCCGTCGCTGGAGAAGAGACTGGGTGGGGCTTTTCAGATCCGCTGCCGCCAATCGTCACGCATAGAGAGGTGCCATTCGTGACATCATTGAGGCCGGCTAGATCAGGCATGATCACAGCCGTATCAAGTACAAGCATACTAATCTTACTCCAGAGCGGTAATTTGGACCTCAGATTAGTTGAAGTAGACAACCTCCCATCCTCTCTTCCAATTTTTCGGGAAATTCAAGGAACGTGCAATTTGCTAATCGTTAAACGTTTATACAGATTAATAAAATCTACAGATATAAATCAACAACACCTCTAAATACAGTAAAACAAAAATGCATTTGGCATTTATTTAAGTATATTCCAATGCATGTCCTAATTACCCGCCCATAAAACGCTATGACCACCGCTTTCGTAGGAAAACATGCAGGGAGTAGGGATTAATGAGTGGGCCTACATAAGCTGCTGTTGCCAATGTTAGTATAATAAGCCTCTGGATTTATTCTTTCAAATAATTTTGTTATACTACTCACCGTTGATGCGACTTCTGGTGCTGCATGGATTTTCTGATGTCTTTGTAGTCTGGTTGGTAGTTGGTGAGGTTAAGCTTCATGCAAACTTTGAGGCTTTCATCCATTAGACGTTATCTTAGCGTGGACTTGCAGCATTTAAGACGTGGGTATGACTGCTCACATGCATACGTAGATCCAAACAAAGTCAATACAGCAATACTCACACGCTGCAATGTGGTATGTGACAGGAGTCTGGCTGACCTGTGCACGCGCTTATATATTCGAGAGGTGCGACGTGTGGGTGGCCGAGATTAAATTAATTCTGCTACGCGTCTTTGCGGTGGCACGTCATTGGAGGAACCAAAATCACAAAATCTGAAGATTCTAATCCCAATTTTATCTGAGAGAGCCAAATGCAATCATCAAATGGTCACAACTGGTTTGCGAGCCATACGTTCCCGACACCTGCTCTAAACTCTCTACCACCTTGAATCTGTTACAAAGCGGAGTTGAGATGACCGAACAGGAATCAGGCTTAGGCCGCTTTCTCCAATGCAGACCAGAAACACCGCCTATCTTAGTGGCAGTAGTCTCTTGCGCTAGTAATACCGCACTATTTACCCTCACTCACATTCAGTAGGTGTCAAGCGAGACTCTGGGAAACCAATGCTGGTGCTGCTACTACTATTTATACTGCTGCTTACCAGCAGTGTAGCTAAGTGATAGTAGTGCTGTTACTATTACTAAAACTAATAATTGGTCGGAAATGACACTGATTAGAGTCCGCGCTGGACTCGTGTTCCATCGGCC